GAAGTGGCTCCAGCCAAGATCGCTCTCCAGAATAAAGATCCAGGCACCAGTGGCCCCTGGGAATCCCTACCTACTGCCCACAGGGGCTCCCACTTCTGTGCCCAAAGGCACCCTGGGGACCATGATCTCCCCTGCCCCAGTTCCTGACCCCAGGGAGGGGTGGTGCCCGCCCATCCAACCCAAATGCAACCCCAGGCGGGTCTTGCCTCTTCTGCTTCCTGACAGCTGTCTATCCCACCCAGCCTGAGGCCCATGCTGGGTCTGGGCACCAGCTGCCGCCCTGACCCCTCACGCTGTTCTCCACGTTGTCCCAGAGAGGGCCAGAAACCTGTCCTCGGCACTCCCCTGCCAAAGCCGCCTCAGGACCCTCCAGCATAAGGAAGTCCCACCCCTTGGCCTGTCGTTCAAGGCCCTGCCTGTGGCCCCAGCCCCCCCCAGCCTCACCACCCACTCCCCCTGCCCCTAGACACACAGAGCCCCCAACCATGCTTTTTTAGGACTTCACGCTTTTGTACATGCTGTTACTCCTGTTTGAAGTTCCCTCCTCCTCCCCTCCTGCCTTGTCTCCTGGAGGACTCCTAGCTATCCTTCAAAGCCCTGCTAAGGGATCCCTTCTTCTCGCCTAGAGGTCTCTAGATTGCCCGAGAGGAAACCACTCCCATCTTGGGGCACCTTTCTGCACCTTCTGTGTTGAATTTTCCCTGTGGGGTGTGGCCCTGAGTCATCATTTCAGCTCCTCTTATCTGCCCCTCTCACTAAACCGGGCGTCTTGAGGGCAAGAACCGTGCTTCGTTCACCTCCCCACCGCCCAGAAGGCTGGAAAGAAATGACAGAGCCACAGGATTCTGCCATCCAAGGAGTTCAACCCAGCGCTTCTGAGCCTCTCTCCGTCCCAGCCAAAGACCCTGCGATTCCAAACCCCACCCCATGTGGGGACGTGGACCTAACGTTCCACAGGCCCAGCCTCAACAGTCTGGGATTTCAATCCAAAATACGATGGCCCTAAACTTCCAACAGAGAGACTATGATTCTAGAATCCGCCCCAAAGAGCTGTGGGCACCCCTACTTTCTGTCTTCTAACCTGACCTGATTCCACCCTGCAGACCACACAATTGCAGGAGGCCATGAGAGGAGGGGAAGCCGCCCCCGCCGCTCCCCCGACTCCCCGCCCAGGCCCGCCCCCACCTCCCCAGCCCCGCAGCCCACATGCCCCACATCCGCAGGCAAGCACCTGGCTCTGTCTGGCTCTGCCCTGCTCGGACCCAAGCTGAGACGTCTAAGAGCAGGATGCGCCCCATAGTGTTTCTTCTCCCTCATCTGCCAGGTGAGTGGGTGGGCTGCCCTGGGTCTCCCGTCACTGGGCCCGCCACCACCTCTGCCCCTCGGACCGGCATCTGCTCCCTGACTTCCCCCGCCTCCTCCTCTTCTCTCTCACCAGCTGCCAACAAGCCCCAGAGCCTGTGGTCAGGTTGAGTCTTGTCTCCTCACACAGGAGGAGGGAGCCAGTGATAAACACATCTGCGATCCTTTCCAAGACGCTCAGGGGGGAGCGGCTGCGGGCCGGCCTCTTTGCTCCTGCCCGTTCCCCAACTCCCCCGTGCGTGGGGCTCCCAGAAGCCTGTTTTGGGGGGATTCTGGGATGGGGGCCCAGGCCTTTGAATAAATGGTACACTGCAGGATCGTGGGGGGCCTCCTGCATGCCCTCACCTGGCCCTGACTGGCACCTGGGGATCCAGAACAAGTTAAGGGTCACAGTCTCATTCGACAGATGGGGAAACTGAGGCCCCAGGAAGAGATGGGACTGAGAGCTGATACACAGTGAGCCTTACTCCGGGCTAGGCGGCTGTCTTTGCTCCTGACTGCTGGGCCACATCTGAGCTCTTGGGGTGCCCCGTGGCAAGGAGTGAGGGGCTAGGGTGGGAGACCGCCTTCCTGCTATGCTCCGGCTGAGCGATGTGGCACTGCTGTGGGTATCTGAGGGCCAGTAGGGACCCTCTCTGGGCCTCTGCTTGCACCCTCATACCACAAAGGGGCCAGATGGCAGTTGGTCAGGCCTTTCCCTGTGCACACGGGGGAGTCCCGAATTCCACCTCTTGGCTCTGGAAAACACACAGTGCCCAGCTGAACCGCTGTCCCAGGAAGCCACGCTCAAGGGTCCTCGGAATCCAGAGCGGAGTTGGGCAGCAGTGGCGCATCCCCTCAGCTGGGTCTCCCCGAGCTGGGAGAGCAGCTTCTGCTCAGGAACATCAGGTGGGGCCCAGCCCACACCCTGCCCAGACCCTAGGACTGACCCACCTAAGACACCACTCTGCCTCCCCGGGGTCCATTTCTATGACGTCTGCCCCTCCCTTGCTTCAGAATCATCAGTGGCTCCCCAGTGACCATAATGTGCTCAACCATTCACTCGGTAGGCATATAGGCCGCCTCCGTATGCCAGGCTCTGGGGGTGGCTGTGAGTGGGACACACGGGGTCGCTGTCTTCGTCACGTTTACGGTTTAGGGAGGGAGCAAGCCCCAGAACAAGCCTGCACCCAGAGAGGCTAGGAAGGAACTGAAAGGGGAGCTTCTCTGAGGGGGGGATCTGAGCTGAAGCCTGAGCACTGAGGAGGAGGCAGCCACAGGAAGACCTGGGGGCAACTCAAGGCTCTCACCCCTTGGCCTGGCAGGTGACCTTCCAGGCTCCCCAGCTTCTGCTACCCCTTCAGGGACCCACAGAGCAGCCAGTCTGGGCCCCTGAACTGGCCCCAGCCTCCATCCTTGGGCCTTTGGCCACACTATCTCCCCACACCAGACCTGGCTTGCCTTCACCTCTCTTCTCTGCTTAGCCCACCTTCACTCATCTTTTGGGGCTCACCTCCTCCAGGAAGCCCCCTGAGGTCGGTCTTATGACCTCTGACAGCTCCCATCGTCTGCATCACCCAAGCCCTGCCCTGAACAGCAACCGTGGCCCCCACACCTGCTGGAGCTGGGTAGCTTAGAAAACCCTCTCCCACCGGATATACACTGAACCTTTGTTACCCCGGGCCAAGCATTCTCTCCTGTAATTCTGACAGCGGCCCCAGCAGGCAGCCACAGATGAGGAAACTGAGGCTGGGAGCAGTAAGCCACTTGTCTTCCCTCTGCGCACCTCCAGGAAGCGGGACTTCAAGGGCAGGTGGGAGACCGTGACCTGGGACCTGAGCCCTAAAGAGTGACCTGACCACAGAAACAGGGAGGAATGACGGCTGAGAACACTGGAGGACATGCTGGCCCTGGGCAGGGGCTCTGGCCAGGGCTGGACAGGCGGAGCCAGCACGGCCTTGCCATGTACCCTGGGACCTCATCCTGACGCAGGACAGGTGAGCGGCTCTGCCTGTGTGACTCACCGTGATGGCCTGGGAGGCTCTGACACACAGGATGTGGCCAGAGGCTGGAGAGGAGGAGGGCGGGAGGCTTCTGAAAGCTGGAGGAAGGGCCAGTTGGCACCTCTCATTCGTCTACACACCTGGGTGCCTTGCTCCCCTCCAAAGTGTGCGGGCTACCCCCAGCACCACCGGCCAGACAGACTCCCTCCCACATGACAGATGTTTGCACAACTTGCAATCAACTCACCCTATGCTGAGGACTAGGTGTGTGCCAGGCCCTGGGGCGAGGGCTCTCCCGCCGTGTCTCCTTCCCTGCTCACCTCAGCCCTGAGGACACTCCTGTAGCTCTGCTTCCTTCCCCAGGAACAAGAGACAGCTGGGATCTGAGCCCTGGCACCTCACCGCCAGCCGGCGCTCTGACCACCACGCCACAGCGGACTGTGGTGCGCAAACGCCAACTCGAGGGCCAGACGTGCTGGGTTCGAATTCTGGTTTTGCTTCTTATTAGCTGTGGGACCCTCAGCACATTACTTAACTGCTCTGTGTCTCAATTTCTTCACCTATAAAATGGGGATAATGATGCCACTGTTCAGAGGGATGCCATGAAGATTAAGTGAGCTGACATAGCCAGGGCTAGATGACAGCTGGCCCACGGACGTGCTCTAGCGGAACGAGAGCCGTGCCACTTGACCATCTGTCGCTCAAGGCCCACACTTAGCCGACAGATGTGTGCTTTTGAGCCCCTATGGTAATCTTCTTTTTTTACTTTTCCTATATTTTTAAGATTTACTGATGACTACTAGTTTTAAATGCCAAAACTTGAAAATGAAGTGAGTGCACGTGAAAGTCTGAGTCTGAGATCAGAGGACGTGGCCACCCTGGGCCGGCATCCCCACACAGCCACAGCGGGCTGGAGCAAGTTGGGCCCATGGACGCCGTCTGTGTTCCTTGGCCTCCACAGCCCAGTGCACACTTTCCCCTGTTCTTGTCACTCCTGCTCCTGCCAGCCCCCCTGGGTGCCCGTGTCTGTGGCCGCTGGTGGTGCCACACACATCCTGTCACTGCAGTGGTCCGTCCCCCGCCCAGGCAGCATCGAGCCCTCCTTCCCCATCCATCCTGGCCCATAGCCACTTCTGTACAGAGCTCCGCCTGACATCAGACATTTTTCCTCTCCCAACACCTCCTGGGCCCAGGGGCCCCAGGGTGGGCTCTGAGCACCTTGACCTTTACAGGCCTTCCAGAGCCCACTCCCAACCTCAGGCCTCAGCTGAGGAGACTCCCCGAGCCAGGTGGCACTGATCTGGGTGCCCCAAGATGCCTCCTCAAACTGCCTCTGTTTAAATACTTCCTGGGACGGGGAGCTCACTCCTTTCTTGGTAACTCAATCCATTTCTCAGTGGCTATGGCTGGCCCTCACACTGGCAGGACCTGTCTCCTTGTGACCCCGCCCCCACTCCCACCCCATGGACCTTTACTCTGTACTCTGGGCCTGCAGACCCATCTGATCCCTTGCTCTGGGACAGCCGGCTCCTTGCAGGATAGGGTGTCCAGTCCCCTTTCTAACCCAGCCATCTCTGCTACAAACGTCCTGGGACATTCCTGACTCTCTAAGCTAAGCCCAGAATTCAGGAGGATCTGAGGAGGCAGAGAAGAAGGTATTGTCACCTCCTTTATTCTGAGCTCCAGATCTTGGCTAAGGTGACCAAGGACACATTAGCAGCCCTGGCAGCTGCTCCACAGGGATGACTCCTACTGAACTCACCTCAACCCCTCCCCACAATCAGAGTTATGTACAGCTGATTTTGTGGACCCAAAGATAAGAGTTCACGTCTGTCCCTCTTTCCATCTTGCTGAGCTACATCCAACTTGTTTTAACAGAGATTCAATTATTCAACTGCTTCAGTAACTGACAAGCATCACGCACCCACAAATCCTGACCAGCAGCGAACTGACAACAGAGTCAAGCAGAATGAGGCTGTGTGCAGAGCCCTGTGGCTCACCACAGGAGACCCGACACCAGCCATTCTGAATAAGGAACCCTGCGGCATCTCTGCCGGAGCCGCCCGGCTCCCCTCCTGGCCGCCTACCTTTCGGCCTGCCTCGTTATTGTGTAAGTTCATGAGAGTCCGGGCATTCTGCTTGATCTCCCGGGCATCCACAAAGACCTTGGCGAAGCCGATGCCGTAGCGGATGTCGGCAGAGCAGCCACCCCACTTCCAGCCCTCGTCCCGGTGGTACTGGCCTTGCTTCTCCTTGTCGCAGCCACAGTCGCTCAGGTTGCCCTGGGTGCAGGCCGCTGTGATGGCGTGGGCCACTCCGGCAGCAATGATGGCGTACGTAAAGGCAGCCTCCCGGCTCCCTGCGGGGAGAAGAGCGCAGACTGGGGTCAGGTCCAGGCCGCCGGGGGACAGCGAGCTGGACAAGAAAGGAGCTGGCTCTCTGGAACAGCTCCACAAGGACCTAGGAGTGCTCATTCCTCGCCCCTAAGAAGCGCTCTGTCTTGGGATGATGACAATGCCCGAGCCCCCGATCATGCACACACCCACTCAACCCCAATCCTGAAGGTCCTCGGGCAGTCGACTGGGCAGCGGAGGAGAAAGGCAGGTGGGCTGGTTGCCCAAGCTCGGGAAGGCCAAACGAGGGGACTTTGGTCGGTTATCACCCACTCCCGACCACACTCGACACGGCAGTGTGAACCGTGCACTGCACGATGCTCGTGGCATCTGGCGACACACTGTAAGCAGCATTTCTTGGACACCTGAAGTGTGCACAGGCTCCAGAGCCAGAACTGGGAGAAAGGCCAAGAGCGTCACTCTCCGGCTCTGTAGCTTTCAGCCCATGACGACCCCTCCCTGTGTCTCAGTCTCTTCGGCTGTACGATGGGGACTTTGCAATAGTCCCTTTCTCGTGGCAATGACAGAGAACCGTAAGAGTTTGTCGACGTAAAGCTCTCAGCTCCATGCCTGGCTTAAGGCACCTGCCTGATACAGCAATGCTTGTTCTTGTGGCCCCTGTTATTACTGCTGTGTGTCACCTGCCATTTATAGGTCTGTCCCCTCCTTTTCTCGGTGGCCCCCTCACTGGACTGTGAGCCTCTCTGGGACCTGTCCCCTGCACACCCGCGTCCTCAGGCCTCCATCTGATGCAGAAGGCCAGGGCTGGAGGAGGGGAGAGGGCACCGCCCATGGTCAGGCAGAAAGGGGCAGATACAGCAGCCGGAAGGTTCAGTGGGGGTCCGGGGAGCCGCTGAGGCACTGCTTTCCCACAGGTCTTCCCAGCTGTTTGGGGACAACCCTGACAGGAGGCCGGGAGCTACATACAAGGATTTCCAAGGGTCCTGCAGGGTGGTGCTGGGGTTTTAAGTGGGGGTGGGAGGGTCTGGTGTAGCCGGCGTGCAGGAGTGCTGCCACGCAGTCTCTTAGCCTCTCTGGGCCTCAGTCTCCCCACCTGCAAAATGGGGTCAGAGCGTCCACTGCATAGGATGAAGATGAACCAGCGCGCTCCATGGGACGCCCTGTGTGGTGCACGCCCCGAGTGAGCACTCAGCAAGTTTGCTCTCAGAGTCAGGGCGGCGTGGCGTTCAGGGAGGGCACCCTGGAGGAAGAGGCCCCTGAGCCCAGAGCAGGCAGATGGGGCTCAGCGGACCAAGCAAGCTGAGGCAGGAGGAGAATTCCAGGGCGTTGGGATGGGGATGGCTGAAGCAGAGGGGGAGGAGTAACCTGCAAGTGGCTTCGAGCCCCAGGTCACTCAGACCCGCACTCGGATAGGCTTCCCCTGTCCCCTGCATCCATCTCACTTCGTGGCTTCCCTCCCCCAGGCTGCCAAGACACAAACAGCCTGTGCCCCCGCCCCCAGGTCCCAGTCACCGCTCTCGTCCGGCAGACACGCTGGCCTGCCCACCTGCTGGGCTGGATGGCTTCCCGTGCCCAGCCCCTCTGCTCTGCCGTTCCATGCCAGCCCATCCACGGCATCCCTGTGAACGCGCAAATCCCTGTTCCACCACTTGCTTACTGTGACATGGGCAAGTCCCCTCTCCTCTCTGAGCCTGTCTCCTCGTCTTTGAGTGTGGAGCACGCCACTGTCCGCCCGATAGGAGTTGAGGGGTTAAAGGCGAGGGTGCACACATGCCCGGCCCGGGGCCTGGCCCAGCAGATGCCCCTGCACTGGGCACTCCCCTCATTCTGCCTCAACCTTTGGGACCTGCAAACAGCATTATCTGAGCACCTGCTGAGTTCCTGACCCTGCACGCACTATCGTGTTGGCATCAGAAACCCCACGTGTGCAGCATGTGTTTGCCAGGGCCTGGCACAGACCAGCCTTGACGGGCAGCTGCAGTGTGGACAAGCGCACAGGCAGGCTGGATACCCGACAACGCCTCTGTTCTGTGAAATTAAGAAACGCTGCCTAATCTTTACTAAGATTTTCTAATTTTGCCTGAGATTTCCTAATGCTTGGCTGGGCTCACAGGAAGGCGAGGGAAGCCGCTGGGCGTGCAGTGAAGACAGAGCTGACCGGCAGCAGTGCAGGGGCCGGGAGGAACAGAAGGGATGTGGCCGCCTCGCGTTGCTGCATCTGCGAAGGAGGGAGCTTTCGAGTTAGGGTGTCGAGGGCAGGAGCCCAGGACCCAGCCCACCGAGGCAGGACACTGGAACAGAGACAGCGCTGGGTAGGCAGAGTCCCGGGGAGAGGGCCGACTGAAAACGGGTTCCGCCCCAGCGCAGCTGACCAACAGGCAAGCCGGCCTGCCTTGGCCAGGACAGGAGGTGGGAAGCCCGGAGATCCCGGGAACCAGGAGCCACACTCCTGTCTTTGCACAGATTGAAGGCTCAATTTTATCCCCGCATGTTCCAAGGGCTCCCAAGCCAGTGCTACCCCACAACCCCTAGAGGAGCAAAGATAGAGCCTGCAGGCCCCAGCTAACACTACTACAGAGCATCGAATGCAAAAGAAAATAACATCCTGGAGGAGACAGCCAGCCAGCAGTGAGATTAGACTCTCAGGGGCATCAGAGCAAAGAATAATCAGATGGAGAGTCTAAATAGAACAGGATGGCTGGTAGGGAATGCCTGTTCCACCACTTTCTAGCGGTGTGACCTTGGGTGAGTCACCTAACCTCTCTGTTCTCTGGTTCCTCCACCATAAAATAGGGATGACAACCATCCATGTAATTCAGGGTGATTGAAGGACTAGAAAACATTAACAAAGGAAGGCACTTAGCAAAGAGACTGGCATGAGGAAGTGGCCTCAGATACTAAATTTATAACATTTCTATTGATGACAATAATAACAGTTCCTTTTAAGAGAGCTGGAAGGGAAGCAGCAGAAGTCTTCATTATCTTCATCTACAGCTGAAGAAACTGAGGCCAAGAGAGAGATCCGGCTTGCCCAGGCCACCCAGCTGGTGGGCAGCAGAGCCAAGCTACAGACTCAGCCTCTGGACACCTGTACAGACTGGCAGGAACTGTCCCGAGGGATGAGGGCTCCAAGGTGCAGCGGGCACCGCTGGCAGCCTCCAGAAGTAAAAGGAGACAGTGTCCCCTTTATCAGACCAAGAATGGAGGATGCAAATTGAGGAGGGGGTGGGGACCCTGGCCGGTGTCTGAGGCTTACCCTTCTGCCAGGCTCCTCCTTGGGGGTGGGGCCAGGGGCAGGGTGGGGGGCTGCAGTCAACACCCTTTGTGCTAATTTTGTGTGCAGCTGAGCTACCACTCAGCAGGTAATAGTTCCCAGGTCTCTCTGAGCCCCTTGAGCAATGCATGACAATGCAGCTGATGAAGGACCCACAACTAACTAAACACACAGCAATGATGGTGGCTTCTGTTGCCACACAGGATCCCCAATCACATCCTCTGAGGTGGGGGAAGGGCAGTCGCATCCTGGTCCCCACTTGAACTCTCCTGAGTTCAAGGTGAACCCCCAGACCAGAGCGAAGTCTATCATAGGCCATGGCCTTCCCCTCTCTGCTAAGCTGGCCCTCACCTCGGCACCCACTGCCCCTGAGAAACAACGAGGGACCATTATTCTTGGCTTCAGAGCTCCCAGGGACCCAGGCACTGGCAGCAAAAGTCCAATGCTTTGATACCAAAGGGTCATTGTTGTTCCCGCCATTGACGTTGGCCTTGCCCACCAACATTAGACTGGGACTGCCCAGTCTCACCACCTCCTTTCCCCTGAACACTGACCACCGTCCTGGGCATCGGGCTGGCTGTGTAACTGTCAGGCCTGTTACTAAGCATCTGTTGCTTCCTCTGTGAAATGGGCACGATAACAGCACCTATGCATCATGGGTTTCTGAGTGCATGCAATCACAGAACGAGGGGAAGGTGCTGAGCACAGCTCCTGGCATGTGGTACGTGTTAGTAAACGTTAGCCCTTGTTGTTGCTTGTTATTATTTCCACCAAGACCCATTGTGCCTCATCATGCTCCATGACGCCCTGATGAACAAGACAGCCTCACGCAGAGGCGACTGTGTGGGGCTGAGCCAGCACCTGTCTGCCCCGCCAACTCTCAGGTTCGCAAGGGGACAGGGACCATGTCTGTCTCGCTCCCACTGTTTACAACCCCCTCCATAATGTGTGAAGGATGAATAAATGAGCAGACCTGGGTTCCAATCTCCACCCTGCCAGGAGCTGGATGACCTGGGGCAAGTCACTTAACCTCTCTGGGTCTCCAGTTCCATATCTGTTAATGCCACCCACCCTGTAGAAGGAAGCAGGTATCACCCAGCACAGCGCTGGCGCTGGTGCATAAATGAATGGCAATGACTGCTCTAATGATTATAATCGGTGACATTACAGGCACCTCTGGAGGTGCGGAGGGAGCCTCCCATCTTAGCTTCCTCCACAGCCCTCCTGCCATTTTAGACTTCTCTGGCTCTTGTCTGTTCCTGCACACATGCCCCCACCCCCCTACCACAGAATGTCCTTGAGGGCACCGCTTTCCCATGTTCCCTCCATGTCCCCAGGCCTGACACGGGGTAGATGCTCCATAGGTGCAGGTAGTAGGTATCTGTTGGACGAATAAAGGAATGGATGAAAGAAAGCTCCAAACAGTGGCCAGCAACCATGTGACCTTGATTGAGTGCTTGCCGTTTGCCAGGCTCCACGGTAGGCGCTGTGGAGAATGGTGCTGGCTGATCCCTCAGGAAGATGAGCCCCCAGGGTGCAGGCGGCTCTGCCTAGGCAGGGGTGGAGCAGCGACGGGGCGGAGCAGCAAGGAACTCCAGCCCCTCCCACCGCTTCCCCAGGGTATTAGCACAGAGGGAGCCAGAGGCTTGGGGTTTTCTTGAGGGGGTGGTGGGGAGAGAAGGGAGGAAAGAAAGTAACATTTGCTGGGCACCTACTGTGTGCCAGACCCAC